CTGCGCCTGCACCCGCCAGCTGCTAGAAGTAACCAACGTTGGCGGCGGTTTTATAGCCCAGCTCCCCCACTTACAAGGCGGTTCCGCATGACAAGAAACGCTAACGTGAAGGATTTTGTTTTCTTCCCCGAAATGTTTCTGCTTCGCGGTTCACTTCACGTGCTCAGAGCATCTGGTGTTAGAGGAAAGTTAATTTCGGAAAACCGGCCTGGCAGAGCGTGTAGCGGCAGCACGCTCAGAAGGGCGCGTTAGCAGCTCCTACCCCAACTTTACCGAGACACAATTTTAGAAGTCGGACTTTTCTAGACAGCATTTGGCACTGCAGTATTCTTGAGCCCTCCCTATTTAAGTTGAGATGTGCATCATTTTTCAAAGATCAGCATCTGTGGCTATTGACCCCTTTTACAATAAATTAATTTTCACAGAACAATTCCCTTTGTGCAGGGATTTGCAGTTTACAGACTGGAAATGTGCTGAAACAAGTCAGGACATCTGTTTTACTTCACTACCAACTGAGTTTTACTGCAGTTGAGTTCACTATGAATATTTCCACTGCATCAGCAACTCGGCTGACATTGAAGAGCCAAAATGTCACTTGCCTTACCTACATGACTGATCCCAATGACCGCACTGGAAGCGGTCACGTAAGCACTCAAAATTAACTATCAGTGAGTCAAGAAAGTGGCCTAAAAATGTAACTTGCTAGAAGGCTATATTGAAAAAGCAGATATGGGGACAAGATTTTGATTCACAGTGATGAGTGTGATAAATGGATGTGAAATTTAGCATGTTTGGTCATAGTCTGATCCCAAAATTTCCAGTGTCTGGAAGGAGATATTCAGTTCTACACCTAGAGGAGGAATGGTTTAAATATTTATGACTTCACTGGGGCAAGAGGCTTTCTACATCAGCATAGGGAAGCATACTGTTTTGTCGCCCAGTTTTCAACTTTGTCTTGCATTGCTTTCCTTATGAATTAGTAATGGTCTGTTTGTAATGCATAATAGATTATGTTGACGTCACCCTTCACAGCAGGCTTCTTTGTTTCCCACTGTGGACAACGTGGGTGGCTTTTGTTTTCTAAGTAGCACTTAGCGAACTTGGGTTGTTGTGTATCAAATACTGAGAATGGGGGAAATTCTCCTTTTTTTCCCCCCCTATTTTAGGAACTTGAACAAAAACTAAAGACTTCAACGGATTCCTCACTGCTGGTAGATATATTGCACAAGGTAACATGGACTAATTTAATTTTATGACACTTAAAAATATACTATAGAGCAGGCTAAAACTGTTCAGCCCCTTATGTAAGCAAAACAATTGTTGCCTTACACTGTTTTTTGTTGACAATTAGATGGACAGAGAACTCATACCAGTTTTTCTTTGTGCCCAGCTGAACAGGAAGTTTTCTTTTATTCATGTTATGCAGCTGTTCATCATTAGCACCAAAATTAAAGACCAGTGTGCCTATCTGAGCACAGATGTCTTTAAGACCACAAACAAATCAGCCAAATTGATCTCATATAAATGGTGTTCTAATTATTAAGAAAGAAGTAGGTGATCTAAGTCACCATCAGATTTCATACAACTTTGTTATATACAAAGCAAGACACAAAAAAAGGCAAAAAAAAAAAAAAAAAGAGAGAGAGAGAAGAGAGCCAGTTGGACTCCTTCTCCGCTCAGTTTTCTATTACTTTTCAAAAAGTAAAGAACGCACTTGCTTCCTCAGATCTCTACCTTGGCAAAGCTATCAGAAATCACCAAATTTAATTTTCTGGTTCAGTATCACTTCTTTTAACTACAAATTGAATCACTATGCATTTCATGGTGCAAAGAGAACCAGGTTCATTAGTGGCTCCCTTTTCGTTCTCTGGCCCTTTACTGCTTTTCATCAAATCTTCACTTGGTAATTGATTTCATTGTAGTTGTTGGTTTATTGTTTCAGACTATTCTCCACCCTCTGTGTGTAAAATATCCCCCTTCCAACAAGTACAGAAGAGGCTTTTTAACTGAACTCATTAAAAAGGTAGTGTTTACTTTTTATATGGCTTGGAACCTTTTTTTCATCTTGGGATGGGCTGTCTTGGTTAAATGACAGCCCTTACAAATCACTTGAAAATATGACATTTTTACATTATAGGCTGATTCTTTGTAATAACCTAGGATAGCATTCAGTACAAAACGTTATGGCAAAGGTGTATTAAAAGGGTATTTGATGTGTATATAGTGTCTGTTTCAAGATCGATACATTGGTATATGAAATTCTGTACTATTCTTTCACACAGCATGAATCCACAACAGCTGAACCCTTGGATGAATTGTATGAGACACTAGCAGATATTTTAAATAAAGAAGAATCCACTCACTGTTACAAAAACTACTTACTGGTAAAAACAATATTGCAATATTATAAATCACTTTTAATCAATTAAAACTGAACAGTAATTGGCTTAAAAAGTAACCCCAGAAACCCAGAGCACAGAGTGCTTCCTACCTTTCTCCAGATGCTAGTACTGATTTTAAACAATGTAAAATATGTTTTCTGTGCTGATGCATCTTTCTTTTCCTGCGTGTGTCTTCCAGCCCACAGGAGAATCTATTACCCTTTCTGAGAACGTGGCAATTATCTCACGAGGAACCACAGGGCTTGTCACATGGGATGCTGCTCTTCATCTTGCTGAATGGGCAATAGAGAATTCTGCAGTTTTCAGTAACAGGTAACAATCACATCACAGACAGAAAAATAGGGAATGGTGCTAAGGTATTTTCATCCGTATCACGAATGAGCTACGCAACTGTAATGTGATAATGCACATTAGTTACCCCCCAAATAACTGAAATTTAAAATAATGCATAATGTTTAAATAAGAGCAAGAAAGAATCCCACTGAGGTATTGGTAAGTGTTAGTGAGTCCTAATTTCCCTTCCCTAAGCACTCATCAAGAAATTAAGGAATCATACAATACTTTTGTAATTTCATCTCAAGATCTCAGAGCATATCACAGATGTTAATGAGAAACAGCGCCTCTGTATTTTCCTGGGTTTGATGACAGTAATGGCACGGCACAAAGAAGCTGGTTAACTTGTTCCTGACACTGTAACCCGCAGGGCCTAATGATTACACCCTTTCCCCATGGGAAAACTGTTGCTCTTGCCAGTACTGCTCTGCAACAGTTGAGCTTGAATTCAGCAGAAGACTGCAGCTGCTTTGAGACAGGTATTAAGATCAAAACCATTACATCATACAGTCTGACCTCCTCTGTTCTGTAGGCTATTACATTGCAGCTACCCCACTGTCCAGCCAATAACTTTAATTAGTGCACTTAGCTTCAGGTTGAGAATCATTTTGCCTAACTTTACATGATCACAGCGCAGATGTCTACATCTCTTCTCATTATCTGAAGTTTTGTTTATAACCAGTGGAAAAGAACAAACGCTTTTGGGGAAAGATTCAGCTGACTTATTTTACTCACAAGTAAATGGACTGTGCTCTAGAAGTCTGTTTCTCTTCACTTACTCTGAAAAGAACTGGACAACCAGTTCAGATGGAGACAATCATGCTGCACATGTCTAAAGTTGGATGGAATATGTCTCACCCCAGTGTTGGAAACACTTTCTACCATATGCAGAAGCAGGAGACTGAAATTCCTTCATTTCTTCAGGCCCAGAGAAGCACATCCAGATGATCCTATTGGCTGCTGCTTCTAACCCCTTTCTTCCCCCCAGAAAACATAAAATATCTCTGCTGAGCAAGCTTGCAGAAGAACTTTCTCAACCCAGCCCTGTATAAATCAGTGTGACATTAAGCAAATTAGCAAGACACATCAGCTGAAAAAGAGGTACTATCTTATGGACTATTCTGGTTTTGTTTTAAAGTGATTTGAGATCTGATTTCCCTGTAGGTTTACTAGGCTTCATCCCAGCATACTTCTCCTTTTAATCCCCATGTAGGATGTCTGATCTGGAACATTCAACCTTTTTATTGTGGAAGTCAGTTCAGGGCAGTTTAACAAGGAATATAAGCATAACATAATCTTGACTAAGAGAGTATTTGGATCGCTGTCAAGGGGACACAGGAGCTAGATCTGGGAGCTGTGTAGTTTCATACTCATATGATGTGGGAACAGGCACTTAAGCTTGCTTATAAGCCTTACCTTTGGGTATCTGTATACTGTATCTCAGGTAAGTCTTCCAGTTGCTCCAGGAGATGTTAATTTTAAAAATCTCTCAGTAACTAACTCTTACACTTGGAATTGCATCTTCATTATTTATAAGTTCTGATTTCATAATTCAATTTGGAGTCCTAATAAATATTTATTTTACTCCGTTAACCTTCAGGACAGTCTTGGAATTAGGAAGTGGGATCGGCTTCACCGGAATTGCAATCTCTAAAACCTGTAAACCCAAGGCATATATATTTAGTGATTACCACCATTGTGTTCTCAAACAGCTGACAGAAAACATTTGTTTGAATGGCTTTGTCTTGGAGCCTGAAACTACTAATCGTATCCAAATGCAGTCCGAAGGCCAGAAGGTAGAAGTAATGAATTACCAAAAACCAAAAATAACTGTTGCAGAACTTGACTGGGGCTCAGTTACAGAAAAACAGCTGATGGATCTTCATCCTGATGTCATCATTGCAGCAGGTACCAAACCCTTCTGATTATGCTTCCCTGTATGACATCATGCAACAATAAGTAAATAACAAGGATAAAACGCAAAAATATTTATGTGCAGGACTCAGTCGTTTCAGTTATGTATCTGAAAGCGTGTAACAGATGTACTCCCAATTCACTTCACCATTCTTTTTCAGATATTCAACGGTATACATATCACTGAAAAACAAATTATTTTTCTCCTCTGTAACTTTTTTTAAATTGTAAAGAGAAGATGATAAATTAGTCGCCCGTAAAAGCCTCATCAATTAGAGCTGACAAACTTGTCAGTCTCATAAGGAACAATGCATATTAAGAAAATGTTACTTTTGTGGAACTTACTTATCTACCAATCTTGAGGGGCTTCATAAACAGTGAAGATGTTAAATGCAGCAGTAGTAAATTTTCAGAGCTGCAGTTACAGGATTTTACTCCCTGATTTGGGGCTTCACAAAGCAAAAATTGCCTAAGAATTCAGGTGAAGTAATGAAAAAACATATCTATGTCATCAAAGGCATCACATTAGATAGTGAGTTCCATAAAATGAAGTTGCTGCATATCATCTAATCACAACCATACTGCTCACAGAATGCACAAAATAGCCTAACTTAGATGCATAAAGGTAAGGTAATTGAAAACTGAGGGTGAATTACATATATATATATATATATATATATGTATATATATATATATCATTTTCCATTACCAGCTACTGCAACACAGATTTTTATTATGTTTCATCAAGAGTAACTGGTACATCTGTCACCGGTACATGCCTATATGCCTTGACTTAGTATTCTGGTCATGAACAACCATCTCTTGATTATCAGTTCTTAACACAAGATTGACAAACCTCAGAATCAGGCTGCTAAACAGTAAGGCTGATATTTTGTACCCCTTAATGGTCAGTTTTAGGTCCTTTCATAAGAATTCCTACTGTTAACAAATTATTCAAGATGGAAACTGCTGCAGTTCAAATGAAGTGTTTTGTGATCAGCCACTGAAATACAGGCGTCTAATAATTCAGGTTCATTCTGCTAAGGACAGTCGTAAAAGATAGTACCACTGCTCAACTTTTTTGCTTAAGACTCTGCATGAACTTAAACACAGTATTTGACAGTCCATTTGCAAAACGGAGTGCCAATTTTTCATGGGTTTGGACTGATAGTACAGATGAGGGCAAGTTGGCACAGCACACACAATGGGATATGTTTTCTAAAAGCTTTTCTGGAGAACGTTTAAGCCCTCAATTAAAAAACAGAAATCATACTCTACTCTAAGGTAAACATTTTCTCTTTTCATCTGTAATTTTCATTCTGCTTTTTGCTCATTTCCTCAATAAATACCACATAATTTCCTTTTTGTGCAGATGTGGTATATGATCCAGAGATAACTTTAGCCCTTATGGGTATGCTACAAAAGCTCTCCACTTTCAGAGCAGATGGAAAACCTCCTGAGGTCTACATTGCTTTTACAGTTCGTAATCCTGACACGTATCATCTGTTCAAGGCTGAACTTGGTAGGTGCTTTCTCATTAAGTGTATCCGTAGTTTTGGCCTCTTTCCTAGTTACTTAATCTGTAATAGAGATGAACAGGAGCATTTTTTTTAGTGATGGCTATTTTCTGATAGTGAGATTCTTATAGCTGGATCCAGTGGAGGTCAGCCTCAGAGCCATGACCTTCCCACGTGCACTGGATCAGGAGATTGGATCTCAGCTTTTTGCGACATCCTGCCTATCATAACTCACATTTGTTATAGCGCCAGCTTAGGATGAATTGCAAGCTTGGTGGTAATAGGAAAGATCATGAGAGTTAAGATTAAAGGAGGAAAAACATCTGTACTGCACTGTTACAGTGATAACAGTTCAGATACAGCCTAAAATTTTTTACCGTGACTAATTTTCTTTGAGGATTTAAAAAAATAAACATGAAATAAAATAAGGAGGAATGCTGGATTTTGCTTCACATACCCTTCAAAAGCCTGTCTTCTGCAGTCTGCTAGCTGAACAGATGGCCTTCAGCACTTGGTTAATAAAACTGTTGATTGCATAGCACAAGCGTACCTGTTAATTTTTAAAAATACATACTCAGAAGCATTTGACTGTAGCTTGCTTTAACAGCATCCTAAAAGATCTCTTCTTACAGAACTTGGCACACAACTTTCGCTCTTCATTTTGTTAAGCAGAAACGTAATTCCCAGTGTTTCTCTTCACAGATAAAATTGGCATTGGATGGCAGATTATTCCAGCCCACAGGAACAGTTTTTTCCTCTATGACCTGCATTCAAATGTAACTATTCTACAACTGTTGATATAGATTTGGTAAATCCAATACAATTAAAATTTTCATACGTACAAGATTATCTTGAATTCTAGAAACATATGAGAGGTATTAGAGACACAACTATAGGCACAGACTGTTGTCAAAGTACGTTACGTTTTTCTCCTGTAATTGTCAGCATGCATGTGAGCAAGCAGCTGCCCTTAGAAGAATCTGTGGGCTTAGAGTTGTAGGAAAAAGCAAGCCCTAATCATACTGCACTTTGATTCTGTATACAAGGCAACAGAACTGAACTGTATAGTTTCAGCTATATTTTGATTTGTAAATAATGGAGGCTCATCTGCAACATCACAGGATGAATATCTCACACTGAGAAGGGAGCAGAACAATGTTTCATAGTAATAAATAGTTTTTAATATTGAAAACATTTGTAGCTGGCTGTAAACTTTTTTTATACGTTTGTATATACTTGTATACTTGCAATGCGAGTCATCTTAGAACAAAATGAATGATACCTACAATGAACACAGTAGATAGCATCACAGATTTACATGATGCTGTAAAAGAAGGAAAATGATTCTGCTGTAAATTAGATGCATCTTTTCTCTGCAGCGATGACAAAAATCAGAACTTTATTTACATTTCTCTCACATAACAACTGACACAACTAGCTATCAGGAAGCCATCCTGTCAGACTAGCCAGAAAATGCAAGAACCACCATTCTCCATAGCAACACTCCTCGTCTAAGTGTACTGCAAGGAAGAAAAACGTATCTCACCTTTTCTGCAACTTCTGATAATCCATTAATCGTTTTCCTGTTTGACAGTATTAGTCCTGAAGCAGATAATCAAATGTGTTGCTGTTTCTCCTCTTTTGACTTCCAATTCTGTACTTGGTTTTAAAATCTACTTAAGAAAATAAACACTTAGTATCCTCCCTCCATATCAATGGAGAGAGAGTAGGTAGATGACAGGTAACTTGAAACGTGAAGAGTCATCTTACTCTTCAAGTTGAAGAATGTGACTGTTAGTATAAGTCAGATATACAGAAGTAAATCCCTTACATGTTTTTGTTTTAGCTGCCTCTCAGAAATGAAGAATTCAAAGGTGCTATGTATAGACTGCATGCAGCCCAAACAGGAGTTCCTTTATCTTGCTTGGCACAAAATTCTCCACGTCACTCATAAGTTTTGTAAAGCTTTTTTTTCTAGTCTTCATCTTCTGATGGCTTTTTCTTGGTTTAAAAAAAAATATGTTATTTTGGGAAAATGAAACCTTTCTAAAAAGTTCAGCATTATCATTTACATTAGGGAAGTGCCTAATTTACTTCCCTGTGCATATCATTGGCAAAAGGGGACTTGACATAACACTGGACAGGGTTTTGTTGGAAAACAGTGAAAAATCAATAGTAAATCTTTATGGCTCATTCTCCAGTCAGTAAACCAATGAAATCACCAATCTCCTGCAGTAAAGAACTTGGCTTCATATCTTCATGTTCACATTAGTGGAACCAAACCCTATCAACAAGTGTCTACTCTAAACACAGGGCTGAAAGAGAAAGGGAAAACTAGCAAATAGCTGTCTAGTTTGACAAAAGTAGTTATTAAATGATAACCAAGTAAGCTGGTTTAGAAACCCTGGTGAAGAATTCATTGTAACAATCCACCACCACTGAAATAGGAGTTCTGAAGGGAGGGCCTGATAAGCCATCTACCATTTTTCTTTAATTCATAAGCAAGACAAGTTATAGGGAGCTCTTCTTAATTGTACAGCTTATCTAGATGACGTTCCCTAAGCTGGGAGTGAGTAGCTCACTACAGTGAGTAGCTGTCGCTGTATAAAATGCCCAGCCTAGTGCCGAGCATTTTTCATCGTCTTAATGAAGTACTTGCTTGTACAAGTATTAAAAATACTATCATTTTTGTAACATACTTGATATGCTAGAATTCAGAACAGAGACTTTTTTTTTTTTACACTCACATTTAAACTGCGAGAAAAAAATACTATATCCCGTCACCATAGCATGGAAAAATTACTCAAAACATCTTTGCAGAGGTTTTTTCCCTAATATTGCAGCTAAATCAGAGGTTCATTAAAAGTTCAAACCTCTTCGAAAATACAGCTCTTTATTTCTGAAGCCCCTATTTAAGTTTGTTTGCAAGTTCTCAAATAGTTCCATCATCATTTTACAGCGTTCTATGATGATGATCAGAGGGTATTTACTATGGGATGTCACAAAATGAATCTCTGTACTGAGCAATATTTTGTACTGCCCTAGCTCTTGACAGAGAAATACTAAGGTGAATAATTGAGTGGTTTCCAGTTAAGAACCAGAGCACACAAATCACGTCCTGTAAGACTCAGTGATATTTAATTCCAGTTAAAACAAAAATTCTTCAGGCACATTGCAAAAGCACAATTTGTAGAAAGCCAGCAGAAACTGTTGTTCTCCAACAAAGATAGCTGGGAATGGCAAAATAAGCAGTAGAAAAAGTGCCGCTCCAAGACAGACAAGAATTTTGGGCAACTGACCCAGTTTCCTGAAACAGCCATTAATCAAGTAACAGAAATGAACAGAACTATTTTAACTGTCAGGGAAAAATATTAATTAGTCCAGCAAACCTAGCAAAAGAATAAAGCTAAACCATCATCCTATCTCTACTTGTCCAAGCAGCAACCATGTGATAAAACCAAGCACATTTACTCCTTAAATGACTGACATCTATTTTATAAAGATTCATAAAGATGCTGAAATAAGCAGCCCATAAGTACTGGGTCTGCATATGAATACTAACTATATAAAAAAAAACAAGGCTATACCTGAGTGAGCATTCAGAAAGTGAAGTGCCTTTTTATTAGATTATACATACTTTAATAATCTTTTTTTCCTCTTCTATTCATCTGTTCAAATAGGAATACATTTTATGTTCTTTCTCAAGGTAAATGGGCATATTTACTTCAGTGTACAAGGACAATGCTCATCAAAGGAGCCGTTTTCCTCTCAGTGTTCAATAAAGCTGTTACGTATCAATGACTGTGCTTCCATACTGTTGCGCACACTGTAAAAAGGAAAAGAACTTTGAAGCTAAATGGTTCTTTCTTCATAACAATATACAAGAGGATATTCAGTATTTGTCTAGGGAAGACTAGCCAAGAATATGAAACGTTTTAAAAAAAAAAAAAAAAAAAAAACAAACCACAAAAAACAACCCCACAGTATCCTCAGTTCAAATTAAACACAGTTCAAATAAAAAGCATCTCCCACTCACAGGGAAAAGAAACCCCAAATCACCTCAAGTGCTTACTGCAAAGGAAGAAGTTTAAGTAATGTATACTGTATGTACAGTAGGAATAACTGGTATACTTCATACACACATTCAGTATCTACACCAAAGAGTAACCTTTAACACATGAGTTCCTAGAGTAGTTCAACCCATCTCACACTTTCTAAAGGTTAATTCCAAGTGATAAAGAAGGAAAGGTAGTTCAGATGGCAAGGTTCAAGTTCTTTAGGGTAGGAACCATGTCTTTCCTCAATACTTATATAGTGAGCAAATGACAACCTCAACTGCACCTTCAAGCACTATTCTCACTTGCACAGGAGACTCAAATTGTGAAGAACGAATTGTGCTGAAACACTTGTCCCAAGGTGAAATGATTAAAAACTGCAACAAAGACAAAACATAAAACGTTTATTCACCATTTATAACATCTATGCAAATCCAGGAATGTATATTTTGACACGCTCCTTCCCCCACAAAAAGTCATTCATTCTGCCTAAGCAAAGGAAGAACAGTCTGGTCCCAACTCTCATCCCAGCGCAGCTGCTTAGATGCCCGAAGATTTCTTCTGAAATTGTGAAGTTTGCCCTCCAGTGTAGGAAATTCCAAGAAAAGCATCTATAAGTTGTTAAAAAAAAGGGAAAAAAACACACACAGAAAAATGTCGTTATTACCTTTTAGGTTCATTCTAGCCTTCCCAATTTTTACCCTGAACTATGGTGTTGCATAAAAAGGAAGCTCTTTGCTCTGACCCTCTAAACAGTGTAAGGGGACAATACTTAAAATCTCATTGACAGCTTCAGATTCACATACAAATAGAAATATGGCCAATAAGATTCACCAGGCAAAAGAATATCCTCTGAGAATGCAAAATACATAGATGATAGTCAGCTAGGAAAAGGTAGCTCCCATGGTATCGCCTTTCTAATTACAGCCAGCAGGAAAGAAAAAAGAATCAGTCAAGCGTTTACCTTCAGCTGTTCTGCAAGTTCATTTGAATCCCTAAATATCAGACCATTTTCATTGTGTTTCACAAGTTCATGTAAACTGTGAACAAAAGTCACAGAAGAAAACATGAGGGAAAAAGCAGCAAGTGTGAAATACATATTTAAAAAGTTACACAGCACTATCTGCAGAGACTATGCTATGATGTGTATAACATTTAAGATCCCGGATGTCTATGTCTGAGCTTCATTCCCGACAAAATGGGATAAAGGGGCCAGGTAAATTTAAAGATTGTTTCCTCCTCCATGTGTCAGCTTATCCAGGTCTACCATTACAGTACAAAAGTGCCCTCTCTCTGGTTTTGTACCATTCATTTACATAGATTACAACTTAGGGCAACGATCCTTGTGGGTTAAAATTAACCCACAAGGCAAATCTGTCCATGATCCAGGTTCGTGGGATTTTCATCAACTTCTGCAGCACAGAAGAGGAAGGAAGAATGGTGGCAAAGGGGTAGAAAGGAATGACTGAGGAACCCATGTTAGGTGGATCAAAGATATTTACAGGGTTGAACTTGCCCTGCAAACGAGGCTTGACTAAACAGTGCTCATCTGTAGAGCATGAGTAATTTTAAGATTTTTTTTCCTGGAAAATAGTTTTAAGTGATAAAATCTGTTCTAAAACCCCATGAAAAAAAATTATTCACTAATCACAGCGTTATCAAGACATCATAGCACAAAGAATATATCTTTCTTTAGAAGAGCCATCATTTCCCCAAAGAACTGTAAATTGTATGGCTATACCGTTATCCCTTCACAGAACAGAGACATGTCTATGTGGAAGGAAGCACTGTAATTAAGTATACAGAAACAAAGTATCAGATCCACTTGGGATTACAGAGTGGTTATTCTTTATGGCAACTGGTTGTATTAAGCACTCTCCATTTTGTAGAATCTAGTGTTAATCTTTGAAATGACCTTAAATAAAACAACCTTGAACTCTACCGTTTATCTTACTGAATCAAAAAGTTATTTACTGGAATCACATTTGATATATGGAGAAGCTGCTGAACTGCTGCTTTGTAAGAAAGAGTATTGGTTTTTATGATCAACTTCAATTATATCAAAATAAGCAAGCTCTTACCATTCAAAGTGTATTGCACATACAGGTAAACAACAGCCAAACATATCTACCACCTTCATAGGTAAATCCAAACCACTGGATGATTTATGGAGACAAACACCCAAATCTGCTGAGCCTGAAAAGCAAACAAAACCACCAGCAGCCTGAATTCTCTGAAAGCAACTTCTAATCTTATTGTAAACCTATGTCTATGGGTGACATGAGTTAAACATGAGCCACTCTGCAACACCATCCAGACTGACTTGTTTTCAGGCACTCAAAAAATATTATACAACATATTTTGTTACTAAAATTAGCCAGGCTTTAGAAACATACTAGATAAGCTGCTATTCTATTAAAAGGAATTTTAAAACTTCACATATCTTAAGCAGCCTTTCTGCCCCCTAATCTCCTAGAAATGGGTAAGTGTACAGGAAAACTCTATTAGAATGCAGACAAGATGTGCTTCACGGCTCACTAGCAAACTCTTCCAATTCAAATGATTTCAAAACAGAGAAACTATAGAATCATTTTATAGACACTTTATTTATTATTCAGAAGCTACCAAATTACCTAGGTTTTAAAGACACATAAATGAGCAGTCGCTAGGCCCCCCAAAAGTCGATCAAGTTAAATTTGTATTTTACTATAGTATTAGGCTTACTCGCTCTTTATGCTATTACATTGAACATGCCGACGGAACACTATTCCAAGGAAATATTAATTTAGAACTTCAACTACTTTTGGTTGCTCAGCCAAAAATTTTCATTTCCTTCACTGAACTGATCCTGTGGATAAACTGGAACATAAATAGGCACACTGTATTTCAGCATACCTATACGGATTCAACATTAAAATAGCAATGCAGATACTATGTCTGCTTCTCAAAATAGCTGGAAAAAAACTGTATAGTCACAGAAGCTTAGCGGTTTTCCTGGCATGAGGGAAAAACACAAGTACTATACTTCTCTACCGTCATTAACCAGCAATTTCACTCACCTACTATATTCACCTGTACAAAATTTGGATCAGCTATCTGCAACTTTGCTAAGCTGTTTTCATACATTCTCATGTCTAATTTAGTAACACTATTTACCAAGCAAAAGAGGGTAATCCTCAGCTTCAAGCCATGGGGTACAGATCTGGATATGTCTGAAGTGCAATTTATCAATCAGTTGGTTGTAGTACTCTTTTAGGGGTCCTTTGCCTTTTTAAAACAGGACAAAAAAGTGATTTTATTGGGATGGCTGAAAATAAGGTGTGGCCTGTGCATCATAGTGTACAAAATCCTCCATAGGTTGACAAAATCCTGTTGTCTCAGGCATGTGAAAAAGATACCACCTATGACCCCCACCGAAAAAGGTCCCCATGAGAATAACTTCCCTTGAAAGCAATGTGAATCTAGACTTAAACTCTTAAGCAGTAATCAGAATAGCTTGCCCTTAATATCTTCCAGTCTTGTCCTGCTTTTTGCCTACAGCCATAAGATAACAAAATAACTAATGACAAATTTCATCAGCACAATGGCCCTTCAAAACCACACTAAATTTTAGTTTACTATTAATGAGAAAGCTAATCAACGAGCATTCATTCCATCTGGGTCACTTTTTTCTCAAAACTTTGTTTGATGAGTAAATCTTAATTTCCAGAACTAAATAAAAATCTTTCTGTTTAACAGGCCAAACATCAGAATTTTACATTTCTTTTGCTGCGGTAACTCAAATGATCAAAACGTTAAGATTAAAGTATGTTGAAACTGAAGTAATCCACAGCTGTCCTAGATGGGTGGGCTGAAATTCTCCTTTTTAAAAATACAGCATGGTTACTTTGCTGCAACAGTCCAACTATAATTTATTATTCTTATTTACAAACAAATATAAAGACAGCAACAGTTCCTCCTATCTCTTTTCCATCAGTAGAACAGTTAGCATAGTATGATGGTAGAAGTGAAGTCTGTTGTATTAGCACTGAAAGACAACTCTAACGCAAAGGAACTACTACTACCTGTTATCACACATACTAAAGATGGAAGCTTGACTCCGTCATGGATATACTGCTCATAATCTGGAGAAGATTAAAAAAAAAAAAAGTTTTGAGTTGATCAATATTTGGATGCCTGTTTGATCACGGAACGATCACAGTTTACAAATCGTTACTTCCTACTTCAAGTATTTCTTTTAAAACATATATCTAGTAAGAGTTGTAAATTCAGCAAGCAAACTTGTATAGAAATAACCTATGGTATTTTTAAAATGCACTATTCATAAAGCATTTGTTCAACTATCCCAGATCAGCTGTTTCAACATATTTAGAAACTGTAGCTGCAAAGTCTACCAAATAAATCAACACATATTTCCATCTTTCTGACTTTCAAATGCTTACGTAGAGTACCTATAATAGCTTAGACAGTAAAATTGCAATTTCCAAGCTAGTTAGAAATAACCCCCCCTCAAACAACTGCTTTGATTGAATCCAGATGTTCCTCTTCCCTATTTTAATTCCTACATTTAAACCACTGGCACTTTTTCGAATACGCTTGCATTTTCACTTGAATTTAGAGGCGCTGTTGTTTACAGAAACCCTTTGTAACTGTTCAGAATATAGCCATACCCATTGGAATAGTTGAGATGAACTCCTTAATACCTACCTTCTAAAGCTTTTAAAAGGACAGAAAAATCTTCATCCTCTGAAAGAGAGGGCTTTATTAGTGACATTCATATTATTGTTATTTGTAATAGCCTATTGTCTTTAAATAATAATCATTAGGTGAAGGTGAGAAAATCATGACTGTTAAGCATGGAATACCCTTTCCCTATTAAAAATCTTCTATAACTATTATTTTCATAAATACAATGCTACAGCATACACAACGCTTATTTGCTGCCTTCATTGGCAACGCTTCAGACAAACAAACCACAGATAGCGCACATCCCCAAGAGATAGACTATATCAAATTAATTCTCTAACTTTAGAAATTTCTAAGTGTAGAAACTGCCCTGATAATTCAAAGCTATTGACAATTCTGCCCATGGTTAATAGCAACAGATTTTTCCCCTCTCTTCCTCTTTTTTCATACAGACAGGGGAAAAAAAAGTGAGAAAATATATGTAATACACATAATCGGAAATAAACAAGTAAAAGTTTTAATTTCTCATATGTTTACAGTGAAAGTTAAAAAAAGAAGTAGAAAAATCTCAGCATCTCAGCTGTAGCTCTTTAATGAAAAAATGTATTTTTCTAATAACTCATGGTTAGCCATTATATTCTATACAACTGACCTTCAAATTCTTCCAACCAAATCAAAGAAAAACGTTAACTTTGAAGCTGATGATGCCTCTGTAGCATGGCAAGCGCCACATGTGAGGAGGCAGAAAACAGCCCTAGTTTTATTTTTTGTTAAATGGTGGTTAAATATTAGAAACAAATGATTTATTTCCAAACCTGTCCAGCTTGTGCTGCTGATTAGAAGAGCTGGCCGTCCTTTGGTTTTTATCACACATCCATTTTTATCATCCATTTCTGTAAAGGCAGACCTCTCAGCACTCGAATTGACAGACTCTGTACTATGTGAACAGAATTTTCTGAATATGAACTACACAAACAGCCAACGAAAAAGGAAAAACTGTGCTTAACTGGCAAGAAATTTCCAAACGCTTTGAGATCATTTTTCATGTTTAGTATTCCTTCTAAGAGCCTAGTGACACTACTGCTATAGGCATGATTCCGTCCCCTAACAAAGTACTTTCCTTAACAAGTTGACAAAACAATCAGCCTGTCTTTCCATCTCTGTCTAGAACATGTATTAGAAGGTGGTGGCCAGGAGTACATTTATGCATTCTGTACTGGAAATTTCCAAAAAGAAACTGCCATATGCTATGGCTTTCTCCTCTTTTTAAGGCAATAGTTTGGTAAAGTAACTGCATGTTATGCTATCTACAATAGCAGATATCATGCATATAGCCAGAGAGGAAAGTTTAATACTTGCACAAAGATCCTGAAAACTCGCCACAGTAAATGAGGGGAAAGGATGCTATTAATGTAGCATCCAATCAGTGAGTGTCAACTGCTGCCTTTCCCCCTTTAGATGTTCTATTACAGATTCCCTCAGTACTTAGGCCAATTTCAAAAATATATATTTGTACTATTTTACACATTAAGAATTGTGTTGTTGCAGTTTAATGATTCCACTTATTCTGGCCTCTCTCAATGACAATTGAGGTAACTTGCACAGCATCTCCTGCTGGCTAAGAGCACATGAAGACCCCCCTGCCTGTTGAGGCTCAGTAACTTATGATCCTGTGCAAAAATATTTCCGGTAACTAAGTGCAATAACCTTATGTCATTCAGTTAAGGACCGTAATTGCATTTTTTACTTACACGTACTGTGCTTTAAAAGGTTCATAGACTTTGGCAAGCTTCATATACAATCGATGTTGAAGTTCCAAAGGTGTTTCCTTAAAATAAGAAGCTGGCTTGTCGTACAGCGTTACTGCCCTGTAATGAAATAAAGTCACAAGTTAAATAAAAACAAATAGATCTAACAATGCAATTTGTACAGAAAGAATGACAGGCTACAACACTGTAAGATGGAAAGCAATTAAATTAAGTAATAAAATAAAATAACGAATGACTCGTAGGACTTTTTATATTCCTGAAGTTTTCTAGAACAGAACAAACTTGCCATATTAGAGTGAATCCTGTAACAAAGAACCTCTTTTTACATGCATATTCAAGGGATGTAATGCAACCATGAAAACTGCAAACATAATTATCCTGATTTTTTAACTTATTTCATAACTGTGCCTGAGCAGCTTTGATTTTAAAGCCCTGTGACCACAAAAGAAAAATTTGCAGGACAGACTAACTGTAACTTAATGCAGTGACTAGTGATGCTCAGTCTGATACTATACACAGTTTCATAGCAAAGTTCCATAAAATCTGGACTCCCACCTTCTAGTCAATGGAGTGTTAATTATAAAAGCTAATGAAGATTTCTGAATGCCCTTCACTAGCTCATTAAAAAATAGAACTAATGTGTTTCAGTGGTGATGGATGGAAAAGGACTTCTCGATATCCAGAATCATCAGGGCTATGCATTTTTATCTTATTGCAAGTATGCACATAATAACATCAGATGTACTTGACTTACTTAATACTGCACTTCTCCCATAGATCTTCTTTCATTGCGTTAGTGACGCAGAAGTTATAGTCAGACAAACGCCCAAAAAGCTTTTCATACCTGACAAAAATTAAATCTCAGTTAGGAAGCACAGAAAGGCAATCTCAATAGTCAAATAGTAGCTTCTCACCAGTTGCAGCAGGGGCGGAGGGGGGAGCAAACAAAAACCTCAGTAACTGAAATTTAATTATTAATTTTGTACCAACTCCTTATTCTGGAATAGTATCAGTTTATGAAAACTGACAGAGGACAACCATCTAACGGGTTGGAATGTAATGCAGCAATTAAGAATAAAAAACACTAGACTTAAAGTCATTATAATAAAAAGATCAAAGTTTGCATATATACATAAAAGTAACCTGCCTACTCCACCAAGTCAGAATAAAAGGAAGAGACATAGGCAAATCACAGGTTTTGATCTAAATGAGTGAATCTATTGATTCCTGTGACATTCTCTAACCTTCCTGACAACATACAGATTTCTAAGATTTTAATTTCCTATTAATAGATAGCTGACATACCACAGACATGTATCTACATTGCATTGGGATATCATATTTCACTTTCAAGTTTAAAATAAACAGGCCTTTTTAGAGCCTGGACTTCTTACAGTGATGTCTGCTCTTTGCAGTTTGCACTGTGTATATACACATGTATCTGGAAGAACACTCCTTAACCGTAACGCCGAAAGGGTGTCTTATAGTACACAACAAAAAGTAAAAGACATGTTTTCTTTCAGAATCTGCTCCTAAATTCCCTTATATAGAGAATAATGTAACACCTTCAGACTATATAAATCATTTTATAGAATAAAACAGCTAGACCAAATTTTTAGCATGTTTTGCAGGAAGCCACCTACTATCACCTTCCTATACATTAACAGAGGCATCTATAAAATTTGCTTTCTGAAAAGGAAACAAGTTCAAGATGGTAAAATCTGCATTCTTCTGAATATTGCAAAGGTACATAATTTGTAAAGAGAAGAAATTACCATACAAACCATTTTGCAATTTGTACTAGCAGGTGATTTCTTCCATGAATCAGACTCATTATAGTATATCCATAGTTATGCCAATCAATTATCAGTTTGCTTCTCCAGACAAGACACACTACCCAGGCAACAGCTATACTAGGCAGACCTGGAGGATTCTGTTTAATATATAAAACAAATACAAATAGTGTGAGAGTCTGTTCAAGGGACACACACTTAGCAACTAGCAGAAAAAGAACAGCAAAGGATTGGAATTATAAACAGAGACAATTCTGTATTCTCCAACTGCATAATTTCCACTTTTCGCTATGAATACTGGTAGGCATTTCAAATTTTAGCGTCAAACGTGGATTCTCTTCCAATAAACACGTAAGCTTTTCCATTAAGATTTATCCTTCGCTATTGTCCATGCCAATAATGTTTGAAAGCTCAAGAATTAACAAGAAAAACAAAGATGAGTTATCAACAGAAAAAAAAAGCAAAATTTAAAACTAAAGACGTATTTTTATAAATAGGTTAACACCACTGATTATTCCAGTTTCAGCTCTGAAATAGTTAGATAGTAGAATAGTCCCAGACTGCTAAAAAATTGCCCAGTAATGTAATACTATCTATTCTTTATCAAAATTACACACACAAAATATACCTGAAGAAGAACATAGGATGGCTGATCTATCTTCAACATTGTGTACAGTAATTGCATTGCCTGTGCAATGACTTTTACAACATACTGGAAAATCTTAGGGCCAACTGCAAAGTGACAGAAAAGTTGGTAAGAATATTACTCCAGCTCTCCAAACAAAAATATGCATTTCATATGAAACCAACCATCCTCACAGGGGAAATTTTTAAGCTATGGCGCTCTGTTAAAAAAAAAAAAACTGTTTTCAAAAAGACAACATCCTATGATCCCCCCCAAACTACAATTCTACATCTTATCTTAAAAAAAAAAAAAATCAGACTATATATGGACAAACAAATACACAAGGGGGGAAAAAAGGACAATCCCTCCCCCCTCCATTCCAACCTGCATCAGAACTGGATTACTGTGCTCCAAAACCATAGACGCAAACGCTCCCAATATGTCAAAATGCAGCCAATTTCCGCAGGCTCTGCATACCGCTAGGACAAGCTAGCGCGTGATTCTGATGCAGATTTATACTCCCGGCGCAGAGAGATGCAGGGCACCCTCCGACCTTTTTCCTACATAAAACTCATTTCTCCTTTTTCTTCTTCTCCCCACCCAAACCGTAAAAACAAGCTGCCGCCCCAACCTGCCTCCAGACCCTAACCCTAGCCAGGGCCTGATAATTTACCTTCCAAAGCGAGCATTCATGAGTGACTTCAAAGCAGAACTACAAACCATTTCCGCGTACCACCGCACCTCGCACGCTTTAACTGACCTTGCAGCGGTCTGAGATCTGAGATGGCGACAATCCGTATGTTTCCGTTGCCCAAAACGTCGCTGTGGGGCTTCGTCTCTGGAAGAAGACCAAACACCTCGCGTGAGAGGGCCGATCGCCACAGAGAGCGCGCCCGCCCCGCC